TCAAGAAAATATCGACCACCATTTCTTATTAATGGCATGCCACCATCAAGTATTCTTGTTAATACAGGAATACCTTCTTTCTTTTGGTCGATTTATGAACCACTATTTCGTAATCTAAGCGAACATTTGCATGTCGACATGGCCATCATTGATTATAATTATACTCGCCTATTCAAATGTGTTGATCTATGGAGAACCGAACATATACGTCGTTTTAAAAAAGAATTACATGAAGTTACACTTGATCAAAAAGAATTCGCGATTGCACTAGAATTTTATTTGCAAATCGATGGTTAGAAAATTTGTGTACCTAATAAATTTGTTATGTTTTCATCTTTTAGTTGATTTATTTTATATGAAAACATGTTCATTTCGTGGAGCTATACAAGATATATCGAATAAGTATCTTTTTTGTACTCATGAACCTCGTGCTCGACATAATATGGCCGAATGTGGAAATTGTGGCTTGTGTTATCCAAAGTATGATGTCAAAAAACGGCGTCAACGATCAGTACAATTTGGACCTGCACAATGCCATCAATTTTCTAATAAATATCAGACAATCTTAAATTGTCCTTGTGTGAGTATTGCAAATTTGTTCAGTAATATCAATAAAACGTAGTATGCGTATATTATTTTAGTCGTGTAATACATCTAATATAATTTATGTATTGACGTGTCCATGTGGTAGATATGATTATATCGGTGAAACAGGCCGTACACTTTACGATCGTATTCAAGGTTTGCAGAATGATGTTTCTTGTCTTCAATATTCATATACATGCGCGTCTTCTTCATTTTTCTTTAGTCCATCGGTATCACGGTAACCGTATAATGCACGAATGTTTTATTGGTAAAGAGAACTTCAAAATTGCCTATCCAAATGTTGTAAAATCAGACGAGTAAGTACATATCAATATATATGTGTGATACTTTTCATTTAATTAAAAATATATACATAGTACCAAATCAAAAGATGATATGCGTCTTTATCGACATTCAACAGAATGTCCATCTGCTATTCAAATGTTTTTGGATGAAAATCCACTATATTGGCGCTTTATACCATTCTCAAATGATGAAGTAAATCAAATTGATCAAAGTATTACTATGGCATCAAGAGATATCTTAGATAAAGATGATTTGCGTGAGGATAAAGAAATTCAGAAGATGCTCACTAATTTGCCAGCACCACCACCAAATTATGGATTTTCACAAAGACAATATCACCAACAATATTCATTTTTTCAAACGAGAAAAGATCAAAAAACATTATTTTATAAGGAACTTGATCTATATAATGCAAAAATTATTGCCGTTTGTAAGTGTATGCTATGCATGTCTTCTTGATTTCATATATATATATATATACTAATAGTACCAGAGGATGCCTCACCAGTATTGCGTCGGGTTATTGAAGCATTGTTTATTACACATGCTGAAACAAAATTAAATTCGACTGGTCATTTAGTTAGTCGCAATCATACTAATACTGCTGTTGCTAGTCCACCAGATCCTGTATGGTGTGAAGGCCTTGTTCGACGACCAATACCAACGTTCAGTAAAACAATTGATATGATCCAACCAGTGTCAAAAAGAACATAAAAGAGATGATCGTTCTTCATTAAATATACTTATAAACTATTTTGTTTTGCTCTTATCGATTGTCTTGTAAACTTCTCTATTAAATAAAATAAAAACAAAAGATTTTCTCCAAGAAGCCTAACTGTCCTCTTATGTATCTTTTAGATAACAGTTAAATAAATTATCTTCATTCTTACCAAATGGATCATTCAATTAATACTAGTATGATGTCTACATCATCGGATGAACATGGAGAACAAGGTCTAGTAGCCGGTGATTTTGCTACTCGCCCAGCAATCATATTTATACCTCGTTGTATGATTGATGAAACTGCAAGTCATGTACAACCACGACTATTAATGAATGATACCGATGATGAACAACAAGCATTTATTAAAGATTTTCAAGATGCTGTTGTTGAAATTTTGCGAGAATTTCGACGAGAATTTCCATATAAACAAATTGTACGATGGTCAATCGAATATGGAGATGATCAACAACATTGTCTTGAAGTATTAGTTAAACCACCAACACATCAAACAATGGATAAACATTGATTTATGCATATTTTCTTTTGTTTTGGTTTTTTGTCATTAAGACTAGAAATAAAATAAAACAAAACTAAGCACAAGAAGAAGAAAAAGAACATAAATAAATCTAAGAAAATTGTTCTTCTTTAAATCATTTCAGATTTACTTACATTTTCAATCATTCATAAACTTATGGAACAACAATTAGATATTCCTGTAGTTTCATCTGTCATTAGTAAAGATCAAATTGTAGAAGAAAAAGAAGAAGAAGAAAATGATAATAAATGCTCTGGAATTTATCAACCTCGTACATTCCGAGCACATAATATTAATAGTGAACGACGATGGAAGGTTTTACCAGCTTATCCACAAGCTAAAAATCATCCTATTGATCAAACACTTTTACTTCTATGTAACGTACCTCATATCAATCGAGATCAGTTAGAAGAAAAATCATTTTGTGGCGGGCACGGAATTTCTCCATTTAACTTTGTACAACATCGCTATATGCAAACAATTGATTCATTCATGATTGATTTCTATCGAGATCTTTTCGAAGAGCCAAGTCAGCGATGGAAAATTCCTTATTCTCTAATTGATTATAATCTTAGTCGACTTCGAACATGTATGCATCTCTATACACAGCAAACAAATCAACCGGCGATATTATCTTTGAATGAATGGTCACTAGCACTTGAATTTTTCCTACAAATTGATGGTAAGTAACATCTGTTGTATTACTTTTTAATTTAATTTCATTTATCCTACAGTTGATGTCTTTTTCATGAAGACATGTAATTTTCGTGGTGCACATCCTCGACTATTCTCGAAAGAGAAAATACAAGAACCGGAAGGTCTTATATGCCAAGCTAAGCCTCAAGCTCGATATGGGATGATGCCTTGTTATGATAGAAATTGTTCTCTATGTCTACCACAATCCATAACAAATGCTAAATCACGAAAGCCAATTGTTGCATTTGCTACAAAACAAAATCATCGTTTCATTAATAAATACGAGACTTTTCTTAACTGTGATGTAGTATGTATAACAATTCATTAGATAACATATATTATATTATGTCTAGAATTGTAACTCATCGAATGTCATCTATGTATTAACATGTCATTGTGAACAATGTGACTTTATTGGATCTACATCAATAAGTTTCCATGATTGTATATTAAGTAAGGATAAACATGGACGATTAATATTTC